ATTGCCAAGAACAGAATGCCTGATTAGCCTGCCTGTGTGCATATAAAGCTTTATTTATACTTTGCTAAAGGCCATCATAAAGGCAATTTCATTATTCCTGAACCGGCTGTTTATTTTTACTGATTTTAAAAATGCAGCATTTTGCAAAGATTGATTTTTATGTGAGGCGCCACTTTGTATGATTCTTTTTTTTCTTTTTTTTTTTAAAACTTTGACTTGACTTAATTGGCACTGCTAACAGTCAGCTTGACAAAGCAAATCAACGCTTCTCACCGCTGCACCAGTTCAAAGCACTTCCTGTGAAGTCTTTCTCAGAGGTTGTCACTATGACGGGCAGCTTTAACATCAAACCTAATGATCAAAAACTTTCCGTACTCCGGAGACACGATCATTCATATTTAAACGGATCGGGATTTTAAAATTTTAATGCGAGTTTCAAAGAAATGAAAGGATCCAGGTACGATGCCACAAATGACTAACTACGGTTGTTACTGATTTTAAACATTTACGCTTCACCGTCACATTTAACATTTCTGCCACGTCAAAATGTTTACATTTGGTCTCTGCAGATTTGTGTTAGCGTCTTCAGAAAGTTGTACTCGTTTCTGCAAATAACACTCATTCCTCTATCTGTCTGCGTGTGTGCGTTTATGTGTGCATTCGCATCAGTTCGTAAGTGACAGTATGGTCAAAGTGGCAGGACAGGGGAGTGGGCAACACTTCATTAAAGTGCAGCAATACTCCACTCAGTCTCCCTCCCATGCATACACACCAGGTGCAGACCACTTCATTTAGTCTGAGAGATAGAAAGGACAGACCCCAATGGATTCTCCTATTAATCTTTAATGAGCCCCCGGGCCTGAAAACTGCCTGCCTGCCTGCCTCTACTTTTCCACATCCAGGAAACAAACAATGACTCGGCTGGAAAACACATCGGCCGCCGGCCCTCGTACCTGCCTGTCTGCCTGCTAGCCATTAACCCCCCAACTCGACCCTGAATTATTAATGCTTCTATCCTTTGCTTTGCTCGCTCGGCCCCTTCCCAGCAACGGGAATGGGCGACGTCTTGATTGTGTGGTTTGCAAAGTGTGGCGATACCTCTCAGAGTGTCTCCAGCTGGACTTCTGAAAAGGATGCCGAAGTAAAAAAAAAAATAGGTCCAATAAAACCGGCCAAACAAAGTGGCCCCAAAAATGGCCGAAAAAAAACAATTTTTTTTTGTTTGTTTTTTTTTCTTTACAGCGAGTACTTCCTTTTTTTTAATTGCACGTCTCTTCCCATCATCTCTTTTGAAGCTTTCAGTCATTTCACAGAAAGTTCATCAGCAGATGGCGTTATCCATGTTTCACTAGGAAACTTTCTATTGTGTTGATGTTATTTGACGACAACTGGCAAATCCATCTATGCACATTAGCCCATGGGAGTTGCCATGAATGAATAATATGATGTTGTTAATACATTCTTCCCGGCACACTTTGTCTTTTATAAATGTCTCTCATTTTGTTCCTCTAATGAAATAAAACAGCGTGTGCTGTGATGAATGTGGATCTCATTTGGTCTTCCCCAGATAGCGACTCCTCTCCCCCCTCTGATGTCCCCCTGCCTCACTTCCTCATCTCCTGATAAGTGTTGAATAGTATTAGGACTAGGCGCTCTGAGGTGCTATTGTTTTTCTGCCTGCTGGGTTTTTTGCTCTGGTTTTTGTGTGTTTTCTTTCTAATGTGCACATGAACAAGGCTGCATGGTTTTGGCAAATATTCAGTGGAGGATTAGATCATAGGTTTGCACCATTTTATAGAAGAGTTTTTCTGCAATGTCAAAATGACACATTAGAATGTTCTCTTTTAAAATATTATTATTATTACATAACTTCTTTATGATCATGTAAAAAACTTGGAATTCGGTGCTTCTCTCCACCGATCAGAGAGAGCTCTTTTAAGAGCCACGCTGGCTTCTTTATAGTGTTCCCCATAGTGCTTATATTATCAACTCTGTATCCAGGAGACTGAGGCAGAACACTTTAATGTTCTTCTTCATTGAGCCATTTTTGAACTAAATTTCTTATTTGATGATGCAGAGAATATTGAATATTATTAGATACAGCCACACTAAAAGTTGCAGAATATAGCACTGAAACTTTATTGCATTTATGATGCAGTTGTCTAAGTTGTAAGTGCTGCACTACTGTAAGGGGGATGGATGGATTACAAATTGTCAGCATGTCTAACATGTTTGCTGTTGTTTATCGATGCATATGTGATGGAAGATCAGTGATTCCAATCATTTAAATAAATAAATCAATTGTATTAATGTTGGTGGTGGTTGTGTAAACTGCATTGTGTTGCACAGCTTGTTCGCACACAAATTGGGCAAAACAGCGATGAGACATTATAAGACTGTCCTGCGCTATTCTGCACTGTATGTAGCATATATCATGTCTTGTACAAAAACCCAGAGAGAGTCAGTGGAATGAATAAAAAGTTGACTTGGATGCTAAATAAATGTTGCATGGAGAGGTTAGCTGGCTAATGGCTTCGATGTAAAAAGCGCGTTATTTATACTTTGTGTTATTACACTAATGATGATGTTTTCAATACCTTGTTTTGGGGGGATTCAGGGCTTTTCAGAAATAATGTTAGAAGTAAGCCCTTTTTTATTTCTTTGGAAACGTTTGTTCTGCAGTTAGCTCAACAACAATTACAATTAAAATTTTTGCAAAGCAGTACTTTTTTTTGGTAGGGGATTTTCTGAACAGTTGCTAGAGGGCTAGAAAAAGCCTCTTTCAACGCTGAAACAAGGAGCTGATGTGTGATGATCACTGCTATAAGTGGCTGGGAAGTCGAGTGCCAAAGCTGATATGAAGAAAAACTAAATCATGAAACAGAAAGTTGAATGTCTATGGATCAAAACGATTAAGATTTATGCATCTCTTCAAATTTAGAATAGAAAACGGTCACAGGTAGCCAAATCTGTGACCAAACCAAATCTTGCTAAAAGCAATGTGGTCAGCAGTGGTTTTGCTCATGTGGTGTAAAAGATGCTGTTTTTCATCAGTGTTTCCCACTGCATGATGAAATAATTGTATGTGATGGTTTGGCCAAAGGTTTTTCATGAGGTTAAAGTAAATCTTGGTGCTGATGGACTAACTTGGAAGAATTCAGGGTGCAAAGTTCAGTGCAAAGCAATGCTTATGCTCCTAGTGTGGTTTTGTCTCAGTGTATTAGTCAAATCGCCAGCGATTGGCCCTGACATTGTAGTTGGGTCAGTTTGGCACAGAGGTTGTCTGGTTTAAAGCTCCACACAGCCACACTTTATTAGCAAGAAGACTGGGAGTGCACTGGGAAATTTAGAGGTGGGCATGGTGAAATGAGCTAAATTTCAATCAGAGGTGCTCAGTGGTTTTAATGGGTGGAGTCCCAGAATTGTACTATTTCACCAAGTATGAGACGCATTAGATTTCAGCATTAGTCATTAGTGTTTGAACGCTTATTCCTAACCTGGTCCCTGGATGGCCAAAACAGACCAAAACAGAAAAAGGTGTAAAATAAAAGAAATGTACGTCCTCAGAGTCCCAGGTGTGTATCCCTGTAAATATAAAAAGACATTTAATTAATATCTAAATTCCTGTAACTTTTCTAACTATCTAGAGTCCTTGAAAATTCAGGTTTTTGTCTGTTTGTAAATAATGCGTATACTGCATTTGTCACGTTTGTTGACTTTTCTGTTTTCACTGTTACAGTCAGCACTTCGGGCTGGCAGAAGACGACTTAAATTAAAAGACAGCAGCCGAAAGTTCTTCACACTCATGCTTACACTCGTGTGCTGCCCTGTAGCTCCATGTCCTCAAGGCAACCAAAGTGTCATGGCAACCGTACGGCAGCCACGGTAACAGCAGGCTCATTTTCATACTGATGAGGCCAGTTGCCGGGGAGGCCTGCGCCTCTGCTGCCGCGGCCGCTCGCTCCTCTCTCCTCTCCAATGTCGCCCTGAAATTTTAATGACTTTCTTTCTCTGCTTCTCATTTTTCTCCTCTCGGTGCACCTTGTGTGTGTTTGTGCACGCGTGTGTGTCATGAATGTCAAGTTCCCTGTCCAAACTGACACGCACAAAGTGTCCACAGTTAATACAAGAAGAGAACAAAGGCGATGTAATTTTGATGGCGTACGGCTGTAAAGGGCATGTATTTTTATGGCTGTGGAAAACCTCCTCTGGTCTGCTCCTCTTGGCCACATCAGGTTTGCATTTAAGACTTTTTGGGTGGTGGACGGCACTGTTTTTGTGTCAGCATGCAAACAGAAAGGCAGGAAACAAGATGGGTGAGGAATATTGCCTCGTAAATGGCCTAATCCAGCAGCGTTGATCGTGGTCTTATCTGTTTGTTGTACCAACTAGGAAACGACACTAGGTCCTGAAGATATAACGGAGGTTCGGTTCTCTAACTTGACACATTTTCAACACGTTGACACGCAGGTTATGCATTCCTGATCTCTGAAGTCTGTCTTGAAAACCTCCTGCTGGTTCATAGCCGCACATCTCTGAGGTCTGTGAGAAACCATACGCTTCTTGGACTGCGTTCAACTGACGTGAACGTTGGCCAACTCACGGCCGAGCACGAGTGCCCAGTGTGACATATGGACCAACTGGAGTGGCAGAAAATGCTGTGTAGCCTGTTGACAACATCATTTTTCTGTAAAGCATAGATAATGTGAGTGACTGTCAACCACTTCATTGGCTGGCAAGAAAAACTGGAAAATTGTGTATGCGGTTTCATCCTGCAGACATTTAGTCATGGGTGTGTGTTGCCAACAGTCGTATGGACATCATTCAGTCCTTGAACTAAAACAGGATTCATCTACCTCACACTTGTAATCTGGTGGCTGAGCTGAATGTTTCAGATTAATCTGTTTATGTAAAAGAGATTCAGGCTCAAGTCTTCTTGTGCTTTTTGAGTGTCACTCACACCAAATTCTTCTTTTTTTCCTCCTTTTGTTTCGTTCCAGGAGGAAGCGGCAAGAGAAGAAGAAAACGGACGGATCGAGCCTGTTGGCCGAGCTGACTCCATTGACCACACTGCTGTGAGGTCACTAGAGTAAGTCACTCGCTGATCAGCGTCTTTGCCTTCGCTAGAATGATGGTTGTAGAGGACGCGCAGCTTTGTCAATCTCATCCTCTCCAAGTGACTCTGACCAGAAGATCATTCAACCTTTGCTGGTCAATAATTGCACTATACATTGAATTATGTGTGTTTAAACTAAATGTATTGGCTGAAACTTGCAATATTTGTGGTGTCGCCACACCTCTGTAAGCCAGCGCCTGATGTCTTGCTAATACTGCGATACTGTTTCCTCATCTCAGCAACCTGGTACGCGCAGTGTTAAGTATGATGGACACAACCTAACACGAAGAAGTAACAACTTTGGTTGTTCGAGACTAGAATATCTCTTCAGAGTTGACCGTTGTAAATCTGTTCTCCGCTTGCTTTCTTCACATAATAGGCACTTAAAAGCTAAAGCAGCAGGTTCTATATTGTAGCCGAGGTTTGTTTGTCGAAAATCTCATTTTCAGCCCTGCTTTCTGATTTACATAATTCTCTTTTGTGGGAGCAAAATGATCCTCGTCTCGCCATCAGAGCTCTCCCACGCACTAACCCATTCAGCTTCTGTTATTAACAACTGTGTTTTGTTTTGTTATTTTGCTCCATTGCATGCTTCCAGTTTAATATGCAGGTATGGTATTATTATTCCTGTGATTTCCCAGAGACTCTGGTTTCTCCTGCCTCTTCGTTGTCAGTAAAGGGCCCATTTTCCCTGGGCTAATCATAGTCGTTGTATCAAAGCTGTGGATGGATTAGATCTTGCATCTTTATAATATTTGCCAGTGTCTGGTCAGCCTCAGAAATGCAAATAGCTGGAACTGTTTTGGGTTTTCTTTGCTTTTTTTAAATGGATATCAGCACACATTCTAATTTACATATAAATGCTTTAAGAATGCAACTTTCTGTCAGTTCTTTCATTATTAGGTCTCCCCCGTCGCTGTTTTCAGTTTCTACATGCAAAAGCCAAAAACATCAGTAAACTTGAGCTTTTTGTAGAACTTTTTGGAACGTTTGGTTTGTTGCTTACTCAAGGACATCAGACGTGCTTTTAAAAAAAAATAAAAATACCTCTGCAGAAATGCACAAACATATCTTGTTTGTCAAGTCGCTGATGCACACACCTCTCAAATCTGAGTAACATGTACCATTTGTTCTCAAGGAACCTGATATGTTGATCCAGCATCTTGTCAGGAAGTTGCTTCCTTTCTTCTTTTTTTCTTGCCAAGTTTGACTGTGCATTTCAGTGCTGCCAGAAGAGATTTTCCAGCAGAGCAGAGGAAGCTGAATTCCTCTTTAGGGAACTTATTAGTGCTACAGTGTTAAATTTCAAATTTTGACATATTTCTTTCTTGGATAAGTGGATGTTAAATGTGTCTGTGTGGTGCGGTTACATTGATTTGACTTGATTGTTTTCTGTACCATTTGGTTTAGGAACTTTCTAATTAACACTCAGTTTCTACCCCACTGTGTACAACTTCAAACAGCACCCATTCGCTTACATGCAGCTTAATTCCGGCTTTGAAAGGGCAATTTTCCACTCCACAGATATTAATGTGTCGTAGGATTAAGGTCCCACGCACCAAAAAGCAAACACACTGCATTTGTCTCATTACACCCTCTGAAGAGCATCTTAAGTCCGAATTGGGGGTGTGAGGGTTTTTTTTGAAAACCCCTTTTTTTTGTTTTCCCGTACATGTGTTTGATTTCTTTGGATTGCTCTGCTTTATTGTGCTTTTTGTCTCCTCTGACTTCTATTTTTATTTGTTTGTTTGCACCACTGAGCTCTTGTCATAATGTTTCTGTCTTCATTGCCTCATTTCCTGTTTTTATTTTTGCCCACATGGTGTCACCCCTCTCCTCTGATCTCCACCCCGCACCTCCTCCCCAACCCCCCTACCCACCCCCGTCTCTCTCTGTCATTCATCCGTCTCCGATCCCAGAGACATTGTCAAACTGGTGGAGGTGTCAAACGACGGTGGGCCCCTGGGGATCCACGTGGTGCCTTTCAGTGGCAGGGACCGCAGGTAAAAATAACCAGAGCAGAACCGCTGTGCTCTTCAGACAGGCTAGAAGAAAATAAATCTTAGGGCCATTCAAACATGGTGTCCACGGGTTTAACTACGTTAACAGGTTTTTGCATAAAGGTCTTAGATATTTAAAATATGTGTGCGCAAAGGGCCAATTCAGCCCAATTCAGCCTTTTTTTTGTTCTGTGACCTGCAGTGCTTTTTATCCATCTAGATTCTTTTGATACCAGTTGCCAGTTCTGGGGTATCATCTGTCTGATTGCTCTTGAATATATTGCAGTCCAGCTGCAGTAGCCTTATGATGCTCAAACAGCCAGAAAATACATTTAATGTATCGAGTTTCATGTCGGAACTTTCTTTCTAACCAACTTCTACCAACTTGCATGCATCTATTCATGACAGTGTTACAAGACGTAAATATTGACAGCAATAGCTGTAAGATTAGCTACAGTAGCTGCGCCTCATTAGGCGGATGTATACAGCAAGAAATGAGTTCCTGTAGGTAACTGCTCATAGCAAAGTTTGTGGGGATTTTTTTTGTCTTTAAGTAAGCAGATCATGAATTCTGGATAAAGACATTCCTGCTGATTTTCCTTTTTTTTTTTCCTGTGCCATCACACTGGTCTTGAGTTTTCATTAAATCCAAAACAATCAGGCTAAAGTCCAATATTTGTTTACTTTTTTTAATACAGCATGTCATAGAATTTTAAAATTTCTTCATGAATATGCCAAAAAGCTTTAGTTATAAATGTGGTTTAGTTTGTGGCAACTTATTTATAAAGTATTGTACTTTTGATTAAAAACGCCACTATGTTTAAATTAAATTGTGCTATGGCCACAGTCCAGTTTTTCCAGTGTTTCCAGTTTGGCCTCACTAAGAGGGGACAGATGTTGCTGGTCCACTTTGCACCCGAGCCGAGTGTTTTCCCTTCATAGATGAGAAAGTTTGCTGGACAACGACTTGGGGCAAAATATCGAGTCGTTTATTTGCAGTTTATGCATCAGAAACTGTTCAATAAACCGTTTTTTGATCATAGTTTTGAGACATGTCTGCAGATGGTGACGTAAAGAATGTGTTTTTTCTTGATTGCGTCATTGCTCGGCTGTTTTCGGATTCTCAGTCTTCATGCTTGGCTGGCTTTTGCTGTGCTGCATCACATTTCTAAAGCCAATATCTCAAAAACTGGCCAAAGTACAACATAACTATCTAGACTGATGAATAGCACTGCAGAGCACACAAAAGCGCTATAAAGATCAGACTCTTATGTATTTGGGGTTCCACAGGAAAGTGTTAGCAACACACGATGCAGAACACAATTATAACATGTAGCAAATTCTTTCTGCTAATCGGCTGCGTTTAATTAGGATTTTTTGCAAACATTTGGTCTCTGCCTTTCTTTTCTTTTTAAATATATCTTTTCACTTATAGTTTTAGTTTTTGCCACTGGCACACGTCTGACAGGTTTTATATTTAAGAAAAGAAAATAGGAAAAAAGAAAATTGCCCACTTTAGCTGATGACTTGTCAGCCTTATTGTAGTCTCATAAAAGAAATTCTCTTTGGTAGAATTTGGTTTCTGGTAACAAATGTCACGAAATGTGTTAATTTGGCCTTTTTGATTTTTTGCAAAACCCCTGGAGAGAAGCGGGCTGCATTACCTCAGAAACACTCCCTCACAGTAATGCCCATGCATGCCACACATTCCTCTTTGGTGGCAAAGTGTAATAACTTCATCACTCATACAGGCTGAATGACAAGCACGCACACACACACATGCGCGACCACAGAGGTTTTCATGCCGGCATCATGAAGCAATTTGCCAGTTTACAGTGATTAATCATGGCTGTTTGGGGTTTGCAGGTGACCGTTTTATTTCTCTGTGGCTGCTGTCACATCAGCTTTACATTATTTAAAGAATACACTGAGCAGTGCACTCAACACACACACTATACGCTCGCATTCAGAAGCGCACATGGAACAAAACTCTGAAGGAATTAGTGGAATTTCACATCTGGTTTTTGAAGATCCACATCATGAATGCCTTTGAGGTTATAACAAAACTATAGAGCCAAACCCCTGCAGCTAGCTGTCTGCATAGTTTTAAAGCTGAAGTTTACATGTAGACCTTAAAAAAATTAAAAAAAGCATGAACCCCAGCACTGACCAGGTTATTTAGGTCTAATATAATGTCATAGTGCCAAGGTATTTCCTG